CTTCCTTCCTTCCTTCCATTTTTCCTTCCTTCTTTGTTTCTCCTTCTTTAATCTCCCGTCTTTTCCTTCCTACCCTTCCTTCTTTCCTTTTTTCTCCATTTTCATTTAATCTTCCTTCCTTCCTTCCTCCTTTCCTTCCTGCCTTCTTTCCTTTCTTGTTTCTCCATCTTTCTTTAATATTCCTTCCTTCCTTTTCCTTCCTTCCTTGTTTCTCCCTTTCTTTAATCTTTCCTCCCTCCCTCCTCCCTCCCTGTCTTTTCCTTCCTTCCTTCCTTCATTCTTCTCTTTTCCTTCCTTCCTTTTTAACTTAACCCTTCCTTCCTTCCTTCACACACAGCCAAAGGGCAGGGGATAATGGGAACGGCTATCATATATTACACTGGGAAGTCTCAGAAGATCATCCCAAATGAAGCCTGGGCTCTAACACGCAGAGTTGAAAGCCCTTTATTTGGGCATCAATCAAGGCAACCCTTTCCTTACAACCGAAGGAAGGTGGATAAGGAGACGGATTCCCCAAAGGTTTTCCTCTGCATGGGGTTTAAAGGGTTCCTCTAACCCAGGAATGGGTAAATCTTGCAGCCTGGGATTGACAGCTCCCAGCAGCCCTAGCCTGCATTGTCAAAAGCAAGAGATGATGGGAATTGCCTTCCAAAACAAAAAAGTCTGGAGGGCTCAATCCTGACTGGTACAGAAGGTGCAAAATGCCCACCCTTCTCTCTCGTTGCTTCCAATGGGCAGAAACAGCTTCGCACAGGTGGGGGACTCTGCGCCTCTTTGATCTTCCTTCCTTCCTTCCCACCTTCCTTGTTTCTCCGTTAATTCAAGTTAACGGAGAGGGAAGCCTTACATGCTTGAGTGCGCCCGCACACGGCCACCCGGTGGAACCCCACAGGCCTATTCCAGTCCTGCCCACTCCGGATGCTCTTGGACTACCACGCTCATCATACCAGCCAGCGTGGCCATGGGGGGGGTGCAGGATCTGCAGTCCCCCCCCCACACACATACACACCTGGAGTGGGAGGAAGGACTCTACTGGAGAAACCACCACAAGAGGAAACCAGATGCAGAAGCACCTCTGGAGACTGCTGGGTGCAACAACCCCCCACCCCTTTGAGACTCTGGTTTTTCCGACCCCCTTTTACAAATCCAACCTCGGGCAGCCAGAAGCTCTCTTGCCCTTAAGACCGCCTTCGATACAGGGGAGGAAGAGGGAGGGAGGAAAGGCGACGAATTAAGGAGGACCAAAAAGGAGAGGCAGAGGAAATGGTCAAAGGACAGGAAGGAGGGGGGTGGAGAGAAAAAGAAGGGGGAAAAAAAAGAGTTTGTCCTCACCCAGCTTTGCCCGCCATGTCTAGAGGATGATGCAGAGAAGGCAGCGGGACCTTGCTCATGATAAAGAGCATGACCTCCGACCTCTGATAGGTGGGCAGAGTGCTGGCAAAGGCACCTGGGGAGAAGACAGAGCATGCAAAGAGCGTCCCAGCCGAAAGAGGAGCAGCAGCAGCAGGAGGAGAAGGAGGAGGTGTGGGGAGGGGGACGGCGACACAGAGGCAGCCCGAGAGACTGAGAAGTGGGGGGGGGGGGGCAGGCAAAA